ATGGGTACCCAAAGACTACTCCAGATTTCGTAATAAAAGGGAGGGGGTCTGGACCCTCCAAGACAAGCCATTTCAGACCTCCCCCGTGGGAGAACCCTCCAAAACATCGTCCCCAGACCCCCCCAGGCCCTCCAAGATAGCCTGGAAGAGACCCCCCCCGAAATGAGAACCCCCTCCCTTTATTACGAAATCTGGAGTATAGGTGTCCTCCAATTGCTCCTCACTCCCGCCGTCTGAGAATTTGTTTCAGCCTTCCCCGGAGACCCAGGAAACTTCGGGGCTTCTGAGAAGTCCCGTCGCCTTCTGGGAAGGCCTCCTCTTTCTCACTTCTCGCCCCTTGCCTTCGTGTCGCTCGGACGTGTGCATCTTTTCTCGGCGAGGACCATCGAGGAGCGTGCCCGATTATCTTGCGAAAAATGAGCGCACGAAGCCGAAAACACAGGGGGAATGGACGTCCGAGCGATGGCAAGTTGCTCGCCGCCGTGTCAGGGGCTGCCTAACCGACCCCCACAAGACATCCCCTTCCGTGACGTCCCCCTCGCCTCGCCCAAGACACATGTATGCGGCCAAAGGGGGAGCTTGAGAGGCGAGCATGAAGTCACGGCAGGGGAGGGTCTCCGCGCGCAATTGCTCCCAGCCCTCCAGTTGTCAGGGGCGAAAGAGGGACGCACACGCACATCAATCCACGTTGGCTCCGAGAGTCCGCAACGCGCGAACGTTCGTACGTTGCGGCCGGTCTCCCGGATTGGGGGGCCGTGTTCATGTACGTGGATTGGGCGCGTACAGTACGTCCTTTGTGTCGGGGGCGACAAAGAGGGGGGTGATGACTAGGGGGGGGGATATCATGGCGTGGGCCATGATATTTCCCCAGATCTCCTGGCGCCTCTTCTTGTTTCAGTACGTCCCTGGCCCCCCCTTTTGGGCCGCGCGCATGCCGCCGGCCATGATTTGCGCCGCCCCCTCTTGGACGCCCCCCTCTCGGCCGCCCCCGGCTCCCTAAGTGGGAAAAAGACACACAGACACAATGAACTGTCGATCCCCCAGAAAATATGGAAAATATTGGAATTGGGGGAAGACAACATCCCAGAAAAGATAAGAAAATAGGGGGAATCCTTTCCTGTGTGTGCATTGATGTGTGTGCCCCAGGGCCCCTTCAGAGTGGCTCCCCGCTCCAGGCATGCCGCTCCGCCGCGTCCCTTTGGGCCGCGCGCATGCCGCCGGCCATGACTTGCGCCGCCCCCTCTTGGACGCCCCCTCTTGGCCGCCCCCGACTGGGCCCCTTCAGAGTGGCTCCCCGCTCCAGGCATGCCGCTCCGCCGCGTCCTGGCCGCCGCCCTCGTGCTGGCGCCCGGCCGCTGCTCGGCAGCCGCCCCGCGGCGCGCCGAGGGCGCGGCGGGCCCGCCGCGGGCGGGCCGCGCGGAGGGCGCAGGCGCGCGGCCGGGCGAGCCTGGCGTTGATGCGTCTTGAGTTTACACTGGTCCTCCTCCTTCCTCCTCCTCCACCTCCTCCTCCTCCACCTCCTCCTCCACCTCCTCCTCCTCCACCTCCTCCTCCTCCTCCTCCTCCTCCTCCTCCTCCTCCTCCTCCTCCACCTCCTCCTCCTCCACCTCCTCCTCCTCCTCCTCCACCTCCTCCTCCACCTCCTCCTCCTCCTCCTCCTCCTCCGCCTCCTCCTCCGCCTCCTCCTCCTCCTCCTGGGGGTGCGCTCGGGCGTTGCTCGACTACACGTACGAGTGACCTTTCGCCGGAGTGTGACCTTTGGTGCGGGCCCCTCGGGCTCCCCCCGATCGCCGAGCGCGATGCGAGATCAGCGGCCCGCGCCCTTGGGTTTGGCTCCCTCGCGCCCCCAAAAGCTGCGCTCGGGCGTTGCGCTCGGGGCTCCCCTGATAAAACGACGAGAAGATCGGGACAAAATCGGATCGGGATAGCTCGGAGTCTCTGAGAATCGGCGGGTTTGGAGGATGTATTGGGCGCCGCGGTCGCTCCAGAGCGTTCCGGAGCGCTCTGAGAGCGCTCCGGAACGCTCTGGAGCGATTTATCCCGATCCTAGCCCTGTTTTAGCTCGGGCGTTGCGCTCGGGGCTCCCCTGAGGGCCTGGCGTCTCAATTTGTTCGAGCCGGGCGTTGTCGTCTGGTTGCAGGCCCCAGAGGGCCCTCACAGATAGATCCGGCTCGAAAGATGGCGCAACAAGGTGGAGTCTAGGGCTCCGGTCGCAATTTTTAGCGGCGTCATAATTTTTTCGCGACGTCGGGTCTCAGGGTCGACGGGCGGGGGTCAATGCAGTCAGAGCGCCAGATCTTGCAGGATCCTAGGGCGCAGTATGCTGCAGTATCCTGCAAGGCCCGAAGCCGGGTTTACTGTACGTTGTTGACCCCGGTCAGTAGATCCCCGATGCGCGCGGTTCACGACGGAAGGTCTGTACAAATTTTTGGCTTCTGGTGGCTCGCATTGGGCCCCGGGTCTGTTAAAAAAGAGCTCAGGATGAAACGACTGTCCTGGTGAAGGGGTCCAGACCTGCGGGTGCCCACGTCCTGAACAAATCACGCCGTCGGATCTCTGAGCAGCCGAACGTGTGTGTTTTCCCCCGTTCCGCGCCACCGACGGCATTCAAGGGAGGCAAACTGTACCTCAGAGGGGGCCTCAGGGCCCACCTCGGGGCGCCCAAGGGCTGCGTTTTGACGCCCACCGTGGCTGGAACCGTTGCCGCGGCGACTCCTCACTGGGGGTACGTCGTCCTGGGGATACGTTTGGCCCTTCCCACACTGGGAGGGCGAACTTGGAGCCGGCTGGGGGTCTGAGGTGGCCCATCATTGGTTCCGGGCAGCAGGGGGGCGGGGAGGTTCGAGGTTCTGGGTTGGAGAAGGTTCGGGCTGTTTGCCTTTTTCGGCCTCTGGGTGTCGATGTCGGGCCCCGGGGCCGTCAAAGACGGGTCCGGGGTGGAAAGCAGCAGCAGATAGGCCCTGGGATGTGTCCGGGAACCGATTTTGAGCCGATTCGCTCGTCTCTCCCTTTCCCGACCAGTTTTCTCGAGGTCCAATGCGGCGGGCGCTGCGTGGCGCAGTTCCAGGCCTCCCGGATGGGGTCGGAATGGACGGGATCGGAGGATCGCGCCGCATCGGCCGACGCATCGGCGACGCGGCATGGGGTGCCCGATTGTCCCCACGCCGACGGCGCCTATGCATCGCCGACGTCGCCGATGCATCGTCGATGCATCGGCGATGCGGCTCGGACCCCATCTGGTAGGCCTCCAGAGGGCAAACGGGCGTTGCGTGGCGTGACGGGGAGGGCCGAGTGCTGGCTTGCAGGGCCGGGCGTCTTCTTTGCTGCGTTCACCCCGCGGTCTGTAGCTGAACTCTTAGCGTTGGGACTACGCCTCCACTCCGTGGCCAGATGGCGGGTAGTCGTAGTTCGTAGCAGCTACAGTGAGTGAGTAGCAGCACCCTGGCCCGAGACCAGAGAAAAGAGAGGGCGCCATCAGGGACGTCCCGTGGTGCTGCATGAGCTGCTCTCATCATCCAGCCCTGGGCCAGATGAGTAGGCAACCTCCACAGCCTCGAGTTTGATCGAGTCCCACGCCCGGCTATTCGCCAGCGTGGTAGTGCGAGCCACCGCAGCTCTTACAGTCAACCCGCATAGCAAGGATGGGCAACCTTCCCAAGGGTACCCGTGCATCCCTGCCTCCTCGGTCCATCCTTCGCCACTTTCGTTGGCCGCGCCCCGCTCGGAAAACTTCGAGATGAGTTTCCGAGGCCCTTGCATCCTTATCGCGCATCCCGACTATACAGGTTGACTGCGTTCGAACCACGCGGCGGGCCGACGAAGAGAAGCGGGCCAGGCAAGGGACTGGAACGGGCAGGGGCCCTCCGGGGCCCAAGAAGGGGCACGGGAGGTGCACGCTGCTTCGCCACCCTTCTACAGTCAACCATGATAGCAAGGATGGGGCAACTTTCCAAGGCTACCCTTCAACAGGGCGTAGACGCTTCAGTGCAGGAGGAGGAGGAGGTGGTGGAGGAAGCCCATATGGCCTCTGGCGGGCCGGGGCCGTGAACGATCATCCGTTCGGCCTGATCGTTCGATCGCGCCGATCGACTCACACCAATCGTGATCGGCCGCCCGCGGGGCCGGGCTCGCGCGCCGCGGCGGGTCGGCGATAGCCGACGCCGCAGCCGCGACCCTGCGCCTGGCTGCGCGCCCGCTGGCGCGCCACGTGGGGCCAGACGCCGCTGGAGCCCGCCTGGCACAGGCGGGAGAGGGCACGCCGCTCCTCGGCGAGGGCCCTGCTGCGCGTGGTGGAGGCGGCCAACGTCCTCAACAGCCACCACTCAGCGCAGCAGCCCCAGCGCCAGCAGCAGCACCAGCGCAGCCGCAGCAGCAGCGAGATGACGACGAAGGCGCAGCAGCAGCACCAGCGCAGGCGCAGCAGCAGCGCCAGAGACTGGTCAGGAGACATCGGTGCCATCGGAGGGCGACCCTGGGAGTGGGCCCGCGATGACAGCCAGCACCACCAGCGCCAGCGCAACGGATACCAGCAGCACAATGCACAGAGGCGGCAGCACAGCCAGCAGCAGCAGCAGCAGCCTCAGACCCACAAGCACCACCACCAGCCAGCCCAACACCAGCACCAGCAAAAGCACCCACAGCACCAGCAGCGAAGCGACAGCGACCAGCACTGGAGGCACAGTGCACCATGGAGGAGCGCCTCAGCCAGAAGGAGAAGCAGCAGGCGCAAAAGAAGGGACCAGCTCGACACTCCTGCCTCAGCCTACATCGGCAGCTTCCAGTACAGCCCCCAGCAGAAGGCAGTCCTGGACAGCATCACGCCAGTCTCCTTCGCCGTCGCGATGGAGCACGAGAGCTGGTCCGCACCACCAGATGACGAGGAGATGAGGTTCGTGTGGTACAAGACGAAGTGCCACAGGCTGGGTCGCCTCTCCGAGAACATCGCTGGTGCTAGGCTGGCGGGCTTGTGCACAACCAGCCTCGAGCAGGAAGCGGCGATCACCGCCACGAACATCTCCTTCGTCCTGCCCCACAAAGAGCGTATGAAGCAGCTCAGGGCCACGCTGGAAAAAGCTGGAGGAGGAGCATGCCGAGATGGAGAAGCGGCTCAGCAAGATGCTCGACCAGGAGGCGACGGCCGCCAGAACCATCAGGGTCTACAAGACCCTGATGAGGGAAACCAGAGATCAAATGGCAAAGTCGGCGGGCGTAAAGGAGGAATCGTCAGAGGAAGAGGGGAGTCATGATCCCACCAGAGGACGCACGCCACACCCGGCCGCGAGGAGAAGGCGCGACCCATCGGCAGCCCCAGCGGCACCAGCCACAGCCCAGCCAGCCACAGCTCAGCCAGCCTCAGCAGCTCAGCAGCCACGACCAGCCCCAGCAGCACCAGACGAGATCAAAGACGCCATCAGGAGACTGACCGAGAGGCTCGACTCGCAGCAGAAAAAGGAACAGCAGCAAAGCGACCTGCTGGCACAAGCAGAGCGCAAGCACAAAAGCGAGCTGAAGGCCTACGAGCAGACCATGGCGCAAAAGATGTACCACACGACCGAAGTGCAGCTGGCCAAGCAGGAGGAGTGGCACACATGGGAGGTCAACGCGCTCAAGCGGCATCACAACGCCAAGCTGGAGGAGGAGGAAGCGAAAGCATACGAAGCACAAAGAGGCACCCAGAGGACACAGGAGGAAAGGGCCAAAGGGATGCTCGTGGACTTGCAAATGCATATTGAGTTGGAAAAGAAGACACTACGCGAGGAGATGCACAAGGAAGACCAGAGAAGAGCAGCCATCTACACGCAGCAGGTCCAGAAGGCCAGGCAGGAAGAGCAAGCTGTGAGACAGATGGCGGCTCAGGAGGCCCAGTGGTACAAGATGGCGCAGGAGCACAACGAAAAGGCGACGCAGGAGATGGCGGAGGCGGAGTACCAGGAGCGATGCGCCCGTAGCAGCGCTTACAAGGATGAGGAGCTGCGGATCGCAGTGAACTACCAGCAGATGGCCTACGAGCACCAGGAGGAAGCCAACAGGCGCGAAGCGATGCGGGTCGTCCTGAACCTGGAGCACGCAGCCATCCAGGCGAAGGCATACGAGATGCAACACGAGCAGGAAAAGTACCTGGAGCGCGTCGGGGAGCACCAGGAGGCGGTGGACAAAGCCCAAAGGATGGAGGAGGTGGCACTGCAGCGACAAGCAGCGGCCACAAGCGAGCTCCAGGCACTACAGCATCAGCAGGAGGTGGAGAACCAAGTGGCGCAGCAGTACCACAGCACTCTGCAGCACCAGCACCAGCAGGAGATGCAGGCCGCGGCGCAGCACTACGCCCACAACCAGTATATGAGCGACGCACAGAGGCAGCAGCAACTACAAGACCTCCAACGCGCACATGATTTGCAAACGGCAGGACTCCAGAACGCACTACGGGACGCC